ATATGGATATTTACAGAAGCTTTAGTGATAACTGCCTCAACTTGAAAGCAAGCAAGATCTCCTTCGGGAGGTGAAGGGTAAATAAACTCTAGGCAAATGACCTGAAGGCACCCAGGTGGTATATGGCAGAAAATGGAATTTTATTCAGAGCTAAAAATAAATAAGCCATCAAAGTAATGAATAGATGTGGAAGAACCTGAAATGCATATCAGTGAAAGAAGTCAATATGGAAATTATATAATAATTACTGTGAAATTCCAGAGCTGGGTGTAGTTCAATGGTAGAGTATGTGCTTAGCATGTGTGAGTCCTGGGTTCCATCCCCAGCACCTTAAAAAAAAGTTACTGTGTAATTCCAGCCATGTGACATTCTGATAAAAGACAGAACTATGACAATATCCAAAAGATTAGTGTTTATGCTTGCTTTGGCAGCAAATATACTTTACCAAATAAAATTGGAATGGTACAGAGATTAGTGTGGCCCCTAAACAAGAGTGACACACACATTCAGGAAGCATTCCATATTAAAAAAAAAAAAAATTAGTGTTGGCCAGGGGTTAAGAGAGAAGGGATGAACAGGTAGGGCACGGAGGATTTTTAGGACAGTAAAACTACTCTGTACAAGATTATAATGTTGGATACATGCCATATACATTTGTCAAAAACCATGGAATATACAACTCCAGCAGTGAACTCTAAAGGAAACCATGGGCTTTGGGTGACAATGACGTGTCAATGTGGCTTCACTGAGTAGCACATGCATGAATCTGGTGGGGGCATTGTTGGGGAAGGCTGTGCATATGGGGGSCAATTATGGGAATTCTCTGTACTTCACACTAGATTTTGCTGTGAACCTAAAATTTCTCTAAAAACAAACATCTAATAAAAGTGGTCAGAAGCCAGGGGTGGCAGCGCATGCCTGTAATCCCAGCGGCTCTGGAGGCTGAGGCAGGAGGATAGTGAGTTCCAAGCCAGTCTCAACAAAAGTGAGGCGCTAAGAAAGTCAGTGAGATCCTGTCTCTAAATAAAATACAAAAAAGGGCTGGGGATGTGGCTCAGTGGTTAAGTGCCCCTGGATTCACTTCCCAGTACCCCCCTCAAAAAAATTGGTCAAAATGTTAAATTTTTATGCATCTTTTATCACACATTTTAAAAACAATGTTTGTAGCAGTTTCCTTAACAACATCTCCAAAACAAAAGCAATGCAAATGCTGGCCAACTGCAGGAAGGGTCAGCAAACAGTTCAAAGTTCACTGAAACAGTCTAGAAAAACTGCTACACCAACTGCTACATTCAAGCTCATAGGCCAATCTCAAGGATGCGGTCTTGAGTGAAAGAAGCGGTGTGCAGGAAAGTGCCCAGCAGAGTGTGCACAAGAGAGCACCTGATACGGTTTTCTTTGTATCAAATGCAAGAACTGATGAGACTAACTTTTGCTATTAGGAGTGAGGGCGATGATCAGCCCTAGGAGGTGGGTAGTGACTAAGAGTGGGGCTGGGCGCTGTGTGGGTCTTGGTCTCATGGGTATGTCCAGTTTGAAAATTCACAGATTGTACATTTATGAGTTGTAACCCTCCTTTTCTTTTTTTTTTTTTGTTGGGGGAGGGGCACCCTACCATGAGCTGCATCCCTAGCCCTTTCTATTTTAAAGTTTACTGTGAGACAGGGTCTCACAAAGTTGCCCAGGTTGGCCTCAGACTTGTGAACCTCCCACCTCAGATTGCCAAGTAGCTGGGATCACACACCAGGTTTATGTCCTCTTTTGTATATGGCTCTGTCAATTTATAAAGCTTGTGCACACACAGGCACACACACATCAACACACATATACATATCTACATGTATTTATACACACAAACATGACGCATGTGTAACACACACACCACTCTCCAGGCAGATAGAAGTGTGTTTTAATTCATGAGTGTTCTAATTCTGCCACTCACTAGGTTTATTTATTTATTTTGGTGCTGGGGATTGAACCCAAGGGCTCTACCACTAAGCTCCATCTGCAATCCTTTTTATTTTGAGACTGGGCCGCACTAAGTTGTTGGGGCCTTGCCAGGTCCCTGAGGCTGGCCTCCAACTTGCAGTCCTGCCTCAGCCTTCCAAGTTGCTGGGATTGCAGGAGTGTGCCATTGCACCTGGCTCACTTACTACCCTACATAGGCCCTTACACTCCACTGAGCCTCAGTTTCCTCATCTGCAAAATGAAATTAACAGGACCTGGAGCAGTGAACAAGGAAGCATGTCCGGATTCCATGCTTATTGACTCCTCTTGCTACAGTTCCCTTGGTGACTAAGCCCAGGCTGGAACAGGGTAGCAGTGAGGTCACTGTCCTCAAGGAGGACAGGCCCTTGAGGAGTGCCTATTTGAGCTGATAAACTTGCAAACTGCTGCAAAGAGAGATGTCCAATCAGGAGGAGCAGAGGAGGGGGTGGGGGTGGGGGCTGCCTGGGACCAGGCTGGGGGACTGACCACCCCAGGCAATTAGGGGGAATCATTGAGCTGGGGAAACAGATCCCTGTCTGGGTAGCAGGGCCGTTCACTATCACGGGGCAATCAAGACAATTGTACAACCTTCAGCACCTTCTTGGCTGAGCTTCTCTGGGCTGTGGAGTCAGGTTCTTTTCAYGGTCACCTCCTCCATGGGGAAGCCCAGTAATTTCAGGAGGCCCAGGCTGGGCTCCAGGATCCCCATGGCCCAGTGATCTCACATATGAGGAGAGGGGACACTGAGGGAGACCCGACTGCCCCTTGGGAATAACTCAGAAGAATTCGACTTGGGTTGAATTCCATACTAGCTCACTTACGAGCCGTTTGTCCTCGGGTGGGCCAGGTGACCCTCTGGGCCTCATTTTTCTCATAGTGTTTGTAGTGAGGATCAAAAAGCTTCCCTCCTCACATAGAGTGAAACCTAAAGTGTCAGCATGGCCTCTGATGCACAATCATTTGGTCCCAGCAGAACCAGGGCTCATTCCCTGTCTCAGCTCCTGTACACTTTGCTATTCTTTAATGAAACCACGCTCCTTCTCACTGCAGGACAAAGGACTTTCATTTTCCCTGCCTAGAATCACGTCCTGCCACATSTTGCTGCAGTGGTCAGATCTCAGCTGAGCGTCACTCCTGAGGGGGCAGGTCCTGCCTGGCAGCCCTGTCTAGAGCAGCTGCTCTCAGGCCTCTCTCCCTCTCTTCTCCCAACCTGCCTTACCAGCATTTGCAACTGATTGGAAGAAAATGGCTTGTGAATTTGTTTTCTTGTTTACTCCTGTCTTCCACACCCGACTAGAGAGCTCTTGAGGGTGGAATGACGCCCCTCTCAAAAAAGACAGGTGTACATTCGAATCCCTGGAATCTGTGAATGTGACTGTATTTAGAAAAAAGGTCTTTGTAGATGTCATGAAGACCCCAGGATGAGGTTATCTGGATTGTGAGACCGGGCCCTAACTCTAATGCAAGTGTCTTAATAAGACACTCAGGGACGGATATACACAGAGGAGGAGGTCTCATACACAGAGGTAAAGACCAGGGTGTCGTGGCCACAAAGCCACTAGAGCTGGAAGACACAGAGAAGACTCTTCCTCTAGAGGCTCCTGCAGGAGCACGGCTCTCTCAACACCATGCTATCTAACTGGCCACCAGAGTTGTGAGAGCACACATTTTCATTGTTTTAAGCCACCCAGTTTCTGGCTATTTGTTATGGTGGCCTTAGAAAACTAATGTGGGCAGAGAGCTTGTATGCAGCTCCAAACACCCCTCCACACAGTCAGGTGCATTCCCACGTGCATACACGCTCCTGCACAGCCAGTGTGAAAACCTGTCGGGCTGTTGTAGCCTTGGCCCAGAAATGAGGGGCTCTTTTGGTCTCCTAGGATGCCGGGGGCAGGGAAGGCTTTGCTAGCTGGAGGCTTGGAACCCTAAATGTGTTGATGGAGACATCTGGAGAGTACAGCCAGTGACCCGAGTCACAGGATGTTAGGGTTTCCCAGGCTCTTTCTGTGGCAGCATCAGGTGTCAGGAGCCATCCATGGGATAACATGTGGGTCACTGTGCATGGGAGCTAGTGAAGAGAGACACCTGGTGTCTGGGAATGATTGTTGGGTTCCAATCCCATATTGTTTTTTATAGGCTGTGGACAATTTTTCTGGTCAATTGCCCAGGGACAATGTGAATATCTATCCCACTCTGCCGTGGCCCACACAGCACCTGAGATGGGTGTGGCCTGCTATCAATCAACCTGCTGATTGCAAGACATCCTCAAGCAAGACTCTGCCCTTGAAACCTTATCCCTGCCTTTGATATACCCCCTTAAATAAACCTCCAGAGCCATTTTTCCTTGTTTAGTTCCAGAGCCTATGTGGACTAGATCGATCAGGGGCTTCACCTTTTGTAAATATATTTCTGAATATTTGTGTTTTGTTATTCACTAATTAGTTTAGATTTTGCATTTGAGGGTGGCTTAGATTCTCCCGGGCAGGAAGAAGAACCCCTCAATGAGATGCTGGCCCCCAAAAGCAGGGGGGCTTGGAGCTCAGCTTTCTATGGAGAAGAAAGGAAGGAGGGCTGAGCTGCCCCCGTGTGCACGAGAGTGCCTGCCACTGTGTGGGGTGTGGGTGAGAGTGTGAGGGGGTGCATGCACGCGAACTCGTGACACTGTGTGAGAATGCTTCTGGATGTGGAATGTGTGTGAGGAGGTGCTGACCGTCAGGACAGGAGTGCATGTACGAGTGTGTGGGGGGATGTAAGGATGTACTGCAGTGTGTGTGCATGAAGATGAGTCAGTGCGCGTTGGTGTATGAATGACAACGTTTGTGAGTGCCCGTGAGGACACTTGGAGGAAAGGAGAAGGCAGCAGAGAGAAAAATCCAAAGTCCCACAGAATCCCCCAACTCAGAGATTCCCTGGGGTGGGGAAAGGGTGGGGCATGGTGAAGGGGAGGAGTCTCAGGGCAGACTGTTGGTTTCCAGCCCCATATTGTTTTTTACAGGCGGTGTGACCTGGGGTAGGTCAATGCACCTCTCAGAGCCTCAGTTTCCTCATCTTTAATGTAGTGATACGAGAATACCTAGTTCAGGTTTGCTGTGCGGATGGAAAGAGACAGGGTGGGTGGCCAATCCTTCAGCGTAGGTCTGGGTAGAAGGAAGGATAGGACAAGAGGAGCTGTCACTTGTAGTCACCTCTGGGGTAAAACCTTCCCCGCTCAACGCTACACCACGCTGAGTCATGGAGGAAACTTTACGGCAGGATGGGGCCAATTCTAAAGGACACTTCCTCCCTTTCTCGGCGCCTTAGTTCTCCCCTGAGCTATGCGGCTCTGCAGACCTGGGCCCGCGGGGTGCGCGGCGGGACGGTAAGACCGCGGCGGAGTG